GACAAAAACTTTTATCCTGGGATCCTACAAGCCTACAAACTCATCATCCCATTTTACTTTCTGTGAAGTATCTGAATTAAAACTTTGCCCCTGGATAATCAAGGCTAATTCTAACTATTGCCATTCATGCTGCTTTAGGTAAACAATTGTCTTGACCTGTTTTGATGCAAGTCAAAATTCTGAACCTTCAGCCCTGGATTGACTCAGCCATCTGTTTTTAGCCTTATCTGTTGGCAGCACTACAGGACCATCACAAAGTGTCTCCTGTGTCATTTTCTTTTACACTAGAGCTCATATTTCCAAGTATTTGCAATGAACTTTGCTCATGAGGCCATCTGCTGATCCTATCGTGACTGGACTGCTTTACATCTTTGCTGAGCACTTTGGCACTGGATTTCATACGCTTCCTGAAAACTGGGATAAGATCCATCGTGGGCAACTGCTTTAAGGATTTAGAGATCAAGGGTTCCAAGACCCCTCAAACACAAACCAGTGCTGCTTTCACTTGACTTCAGATAAGTCTTAGCAGGGACTGAGAATCCACTTGTGACTCTGAAGTAGTCTGCTTCTCGTACCTGCAAGTGAGAGCAGAAAATCCCTTCAGTGTTCTGGCTGTTCAGGTGATCAGTGTAGTACAACAAAGGCCCTATTTTCTGCATGGATAGTGCTAGTCAATGCATTACTGAGTTTGGTTCCAGCTTCAGGATTGCGTTTCTAGCTACAGAGAAGCTGAGGACTCAGTAGTGAGCAGTGACTCCTGCCAGCCTGTTAGGCCAGTGCTTTTCAACCTGTTTTCGTTTGTGGACCCCTAAAAAATGTTGAATGGAGGTGTATTGACATGCTTTTGATTGATCCTGGTCAACTTTCACAGACCCCTTAGACAGTCTGCAGACCCCCTCCCCCCCCAAGGGCCTGTGGACCACAGGTTGAAAACCACTGTGTTAAGCCAACTCAAATGAATAATCAGGGGCATGGCATTGGCAAACAGGAAGCACAGCAAGTATATTTCATGTTAGCAGTGGTAAAGACCCTGGACCGGAAAAAGCAATCAACATAGATGGCATCTAAGCAGCACTACCAGAGAGTAGCTGAATGGTAATGTCAATTGCTGTTGCAGTACCAGGTGTTAGTGACAGTCAGTCTGCCCATAAGGTCTTATCAGCTGGTCACAGCACCTGATTTGCACTCATTCCCAAGGGGCAACGGTAGGAGCATAGGACTCTGGGCACTTTGCAGCTTGCAACCCAGATCCAATCTCTGGGACAGAGGAGAGGGGCTTTTGACTTTCCCCACTGTAACTGGTTGGCTAACAGTGACTAAAGGGGTGTCAGTGAGGTCTGTGTGTTGCAGAGGGGTGGCTGAGACTGCTGCGGAGAGTGGTAGCTCTCTGGGAGTCCTGCTTTCATGACTGAGCATCTCAGTGCCTAAAGCATAGTCTGGGAAGGGAGTGGATTGCATTAATGTGAGGGAGAGTCCTTTGCATGTGTCTGTTGGGGTGGAAGGCTCTGGGAAGAGGCAATCTTCAGCTCAGTGTGATGTGCAGGACCATGAGGCCAAATCACAGGGCAGAGTCCCTCTAGCCTGGGGGACCAATGAGTCTTCTCTTCTGTCAGTAACATCCTCTCTGGGTGAGTCAGACAGATGCTCTGCAGGGCTCCAGCTTCTTTCCACACAGCGGAAGAG